GGTTGAAAATCATGATCTCACACGATTCCTATAACCAATCGACAACAAATACGACGACACACGACTAGGATGATGGAAGAAACTACATTGGCGGTAGTGGTTAGAAAAGGCGGCGACAACGATTAAGATGGTAAGATTTAAAGATTTTGAGGATTTGAGGGATATTTTATAATTTAAGAAAAATTAGATTTTTATAAATATAATAATATTTTTATTACCTTTTTAAAATATAAATTTTAAAATTACTAAATACATCACTCGAGCACCTAAATCGTAAAATTTGTAACCTTAGATATATTGAAAAATACAATAAATATCTATTCGTGAAAATAAATATAGTTTAGCACTTATTTTATACTTAATATCTTAAGCCTTTATCTTACTGTCTTCCTCTTTTTCCTCAGATCCTTTCGATTTTCGTCGCTAATTCCTATCATTAAACTTTCGCCTTCGGTTTATGAAGATTTGATTTAACGCACGCTTTACGAGGTAAGGAAGAAAGAAAGAAAAATAAGCAACAAATTTCCTTTTTGTCTTTGTTTGTTTGGTTCCTGAGAAGACTGATGGATTTCGTATTTTATTTTTGGTGAAGAGTAGATCAGTGTGAAGTGAAATGTGTTAGTTGTTTGGTGGCGTTGAAGATCTCTGTACTCATTGGAGTAAAAGATTTATTCTACTTAGAGCATTTAGTTTTACTCGGTTTGTCACTGATTTAATTCATTTTTTTTAAAAATGAAGCGACTCGTTATGTATTGAATTCGATGTTTGTTTACTCTGTTTCCCTGCAAAAATAAGATCTAATTTAGTGTTTCCTTTGCTTTTTTTTCCTCAATTTTACATCTGCTAAAATGAGTTATAAAAGCGATAAAATATTTTTGGAAACTCAAATTTGATCTTATTTATCCGTTTGAAGCTGCAAGAGATGAACGTGGATAGAAATAAACCAATGAAATTTCTTAAGCATTATATAAATTTTATAATTGTTTTTAGGGTTTGAGAATTTTGAATTACTTTACGACGTTGTATATTAATTCCTTTTCCATTGTTTGTATTTAGGCTCACACACTTTTGTTTGTTTTTATTCTGGTGCAGTGTGATGGATTCGGATAATCTCTTGTCTGCGGCTGGGCTTGAGGTTGCCCATCAAATGGTGTTTACCCGCAACTTTGGGTGGCTGAGACGACATTGGTGTTTTGAATGATGTTAATGCAAAAATTTAGGAAACTGTTGAGAGTTGTTTGCAGAATGGAAGCGATGACAATGGAGATACTGGCGAAGCTAGAGAAGGGTTGAATGACTTAATTGGAAACAATGGATTGATTGATTATAAGGTAGAAGGTCTAAACATTTTATCTGAATGCTTTAATGAATTACCAGTTACCATTACTCTGATATCATATTCATCCCTTGCCTGGCTTCATAGGAAGGGGAACTAAAAGATAATGTGGATGTTAAGCAATGTAAACCTTGGAAGGTTCAATGTAAACCTTGGAAGGTTCAATGTAAGACGAAGAATGAGAAGCCTTCTGGTCCCAAAATTGCTTCTTCAGTTTCAATGAAAAAAAGTAAAGATGGAAATAGTGTAGAGGTGAGGTTGACAACTTCAAATGGAAGATCTATTGATACAAATTCACATCCGAAACAGCCTCTGAAAAGTCGATCTTGTAATGAAGGACAAGACAATGCATCCAAGGTTGGAGTTGGGGGTATTAGTGGTTTCTTTTTGTTTGCAGTTTCCATGACTATTTTTTTTTAAACATTGTTCATGCCTTTCTGATCATCGCTTTTCCTCTCTCTGTACAGCGTTCTGAGAAAACCGACGCAGGCTATCCAAAGGCCCTTTGTACGGACTATTTGCTCTTATGTTTGAGTTTGCGTTTCTTTTCCTTTTTTCTTTTTTAATGCATCCCCTTTACCCTTTTGTATTCATTTGTTATCCAGCCAAGGGAAAGCGCTTAGAGGCCACCGTTCATTTATTTATTTTCTCCTGAAATTAAACTTTATCCGCTAGATGATGACAGCTATATTATCCTTCCTATTCTCGACTGTTCTGTTTTGTATTACAGTGAGAAACCCAAACTGAAGCCTCTGAAGAAAGGGGCTCTTGGTAAAGCTGAAGGAGACACAAAGTCCTGGTATCCGTTTTGGTTTGAACTTTTTGTTATTGCTCTGTTTGGGACTGTGGGTTGAAGAGGGGGTGCTATTTGAGCACTCTAGTTCTTTCTATTTTTTAATGGCATATTTATGTTTATCCTTATTGCTTCATGAAGCCCCACTGAAGCTGATGCCAAACCCTGTAAGTTGGTTCTCTTCCAAATTACGGTTTCAGTTTCAAGTGATGAACGAGCTGAGAAAAGGAAAGAGGTTGGTGATTTATATTATATTTATGAGGTTTTATGTTGCTAGTCATTGCAGCACTGTTATTTTATTTCTTAAGCCCTCACCATTATGTTGTACAGTTCTACACCAAACTTGAGGAAAAGATTCAGGCAAAGGAAGAAGAAAAGAGCAACGTGCAAGCCAAGTCCAAGGTGTTTTTGTATAAATGCAATTACTTATCGTCCTGAATTCCTTTAGGAAACCCAAGAAGCTGAAATTAAGATGTTTAGGAAGAGTTTGAACTTTAAAGCAACTCCAATGCCAAGATTCTATCAGGAGCCTTCACCTCCAAAAATGGAACTACAGAAGGTTAGTTTACTGTTCTGATGTATAGAAAGCAAGATGATCCGTTGAATATAAAATTTTCATAGGCAATATTTACTTCAATTTTGATTACAATGGCATGCTTATTCATTTTGTTTTATTTTCCTGTTTTAAAAGGTTTTCTTGTAATTTGGTTTGCCACCTTTTTCTAATTGTATGCATTTTTATTCAAGCCTTTACATGTATATGCTCTTCATCTTGCAAGAGCCATTTTTGTGTCTGCAAAATGCTTTAGATTGTGCATTAGGAAGCCCTACCTCTGTCAGCTTCTTTGTTAGACGGAGCTGATGCATTTAACTTTAGCAACTTGAACTGGTTTGCATTACGATTAAATCTATGTTGTGATGGTTATGAAAAACCTCTCTAGACAAACCTGAGAGCATAAAATTGAAATTGTAAATGCAATTTTGGGTTTGAGGTGATGAATTTTCTAGTCTGTTGGACTCATTTATTTTGTCATAGGATACTGATTTAGATGCTTTTCCCAATATTTTCCATCGGGTATTTGATACTTTGCTGAACTTAGTCAATTCGTTAGATCAGGTCATGTGAATTGCCAAGTAATATCAAAGATACTTTAGGTTTAGCATTTTATTATATTTTTTTTATCATCTTAAGATGTCCCAGTTATAGCATGATGTGTAAACTTTTTCATGCATTTATATGCTCTGGTTCTACATCTTGAATTGGCTGATAAATGTAGCATTATATATTTTGTGCACGTAGAATTCCATTTTTGAATATACACATTTTGTTAACCATACCGGACTTCATTGCTTTCTTTTCTCTCAGTTTCATATGTATGGTAGCATTTGCTTTCTCAAATTTTGCATTGATATTTTAAAATTCTCTGGATTCAGATATCACCAACAAGAGCTAAATCTCCCAAGCTTGGTTGAAGAAAAGGCTCAACTCCTTCAGACTCTGACGGTAACAGCAATAATGCCACCAATCAATCCAGCTAAGCTCGGATGAGAAAGCATTTCGGAGCATCTATTCCAAAGTAATTTCTCCTGTCAATGCCAAGAAGCCGCAGCTGGAATCACTTCCTACACTGCCTTCTCAGAAGGCTAGTTTGTCCGGTACAACAAATGAGGAAAAGACATCCTGCCGGGAAAAGTCTGCTGCATCATCTAAAGTAACAAATGAGAGAAAGGTAACCTCGTGTAAGGCAACACCGGAGGAGAACTGCACCTTATCAAATGTAACAAATGAAGAATTATCTCCAGTCCAGCAGCAGGCAGCTTCTGCACCTGATTCCCGGTGAACACCAGTCTGGCATTGATCAAGCAATTTCTGAAGCTGATGTTGGGGAAAGCCAGCCCAACGTTGATCAAGAACCGATTGCATAAGAGCATTAAGCATAGCAGTGGTTTGAAGAAGATAGTTCATATACAAAGCTCTTGACCCCATTTTGCCTGAATAAGGACGTATAAAAGGATTATTTGATGTCTTCTCTGATATTCAGCAGCTTAGGTTATTTCGTGTGTTGCTTGCAAAGGTTTCTGGGCTTCTTGTTGGGATTCTGCTTTCCTGTTGGCAGCACTGTATGTGAATTACTTACCAAGTTGACCTAATTGATGTTCTTTAAGGATCGCCTATTGAACATATTTCGGGAAAATTTTGGAGTCTTGTTTATGTTAGATAATCCATGATCAAAACGGATTTGTCGAAACCTGCTCAACAACTTCCTATTGTGAAATAAGTCCATTTTGAAGTTCTGGCTATGCTGCATTGTTTTGCATTGTGTACGTTTCAGGTACCAAGAAGCTTTGATGGAAGATGATAAAATTGGTCATTCGATTGAAAACTGCTTGATCCAGTTTATGTAAGTTGAGATGGGAACAGAAGTCCATTTGGTTTAATTTTTGGTTCGATTCTTCAACGTTGATGCAGGACTGTTTCAGAGTATGATTAGAACATTCATCGTGGTACTTGAACTCGAAATGATTTTTTAAATAATCCAATTGAGTAAGATATATTCCCAATTATAAGCAAAAATGCTCGAGAATGTCTGCAATGCGATGCATCATAGTTTGTGTATTATATCCAACCTGGTTTAAGAATACTAAGAACATAATACTATCAATCAAGTTGGAGCAAGGGATGGTAAAAACATGATTGAAAAGTGTTTTCAAGGATTAGAGATAATATACTCCAAATTACCTGTCAAAATCAATTAAGCTTTAAAACCAAATAAATATTTAGTTCACTCTGAACAACAAAAATTGGTTACAAATACAACAATTAACAACTAAAGATCAAATTCACAAGACTTAAAAATCATGGCATCATTCTAGGAAATGATACAGGGTCAATAATCATATCAAATTGTCTGATGCCTAAACTAAAGCTGATAATGATCACAGTAACACCCAACTAGATACATTATTAGATGGATACTTGTTTTTTTTGAAAATATTAGATAGATACCTGCTATTGCAATTTGGACCCTATGAAACAGCACACCAACATCTGTTTTCTTTAAGTTCTGCAGATATAGCATGAAAATCGAAAACTTATGATTACTGGTTTATTATAAATATATAAGTGTATATGGGATTATGGATACCATTTTGATGGCTCCTGCTTTCTGCAAACTGATAAGTTATGTAGTTTCAAAACTTGAACTATTTTTCTTATTTAACCTTGCCCTTTCATTATTCTTTTTTTTTAATCTTAACATGTTGCAGGAAGGATGAGGATATATTTGAGAAATATTGGATTGGTGGAAATCTCTGGTAATATGATTAAAAATCTACAGACGCGAGACGGTGGTTTCATAGCCATGAGAGATAGCCAAGTTAAGAGTTGAAATTTAGAGAAGAAATAAGAATCTAACGTGGAAAAGAATGCTGATTTGGCTCAAAATAATTGGATGGGACCATTGCTAAGGTGGTAGGAAGGGCCTATATAATAATTTCTCCTAGTTGTGCACTTAAAAATCAGATTGTCAGGAGCCTTTAGTTCAAGAAGAAATAAACCACACCAATCAAAATTCATATAGATAAAGAGAGTCATACCTTGTCCTCAACATGCATGCTTGTCAAGAAATGCTTTGGCCAGGTTACTGAAGCTTACATTTACAGTCTGAGCTGCAACATAACGCTCAATGACATCAATTACTTCAGGCTTCAGAATCTCCTCCCTGTTAGACTTGTTACAAAGATAATAAAGGGCCCCCAGAGCATAATTCACCTGATATCAATTGTTTCTCAGATGCGTATGCATTTACAGAATCAATCACAAGAAGATTTAATCGAATTGCCACATTAAATCACGTCAGGTAAATAGATGTTTACTAATATGATCATGCCCATATAAAGGGTGGAAAGAAAAAACAACCAAGAAGAGAAGCTTTCCCACTCACAGTGTTTCTGACTGGGCTTGATAAACACTGAATGACAAGAGGGATTCCACCACACTGAGTAATAACAGTGGCATTAGCTGGATCTGCAAGAAAAAAATATACTCAAAATGAAAGGGTCATCACTCATCATAATTCATAAAGAAAGAGAACGGTAACTATAGAACTAAAAGTCAGACTTACCCACACAAGAATTGCATATGCCTCCGATTCCAAATTCCACAAGCTTCTCATTTGGTTCTGTTATGCAATCTAGGAAGAGTTCCAAAACATTGAGCTGCTACGAAAGTAAGATGCTAATGTGACAGAAAAAGTACTTGATACACACTAATCAAATTTGAGAGAGAAATTATTTCACAGAAAACGGGAATTTGAACCTGGCGCAATATTGAATAATTATATGGATCATAAGAAAAGTTCGCCAAGATTGCAGCAATCTTCTCCTTTGTTTCTGTGGAAACAAGTACCCATTCAGTTAAGAATTATGAAGAGAATTGGAGAATTATGCCAAATTGGAACACGCAAAATCTGATGAGTTTTAAAATTATTGATACATTCTTCTAAACAAACTACTAGTATTAAACAAGCATAGGAAACCAGAATTATCCGATATTGTTTTCACTCATTCTGGAAAAGCAATTAGATCCCCAAGTATGAAAGTTTGACTGAACATAGTGTATTAACCCTTATGATAAGTTCAATTAATCTAAAGAAAGATTATTGACAAAGGGTCTTTAACATAAACAATGAAGATGCTCTAAAAATGAAGCATACCTTCATCAGCTGTGTTCTGAAACTGATTCACCAATTCCTAAAGCGAAATGGGTAAACAAGAATTAATGAATTGTTTTCCTCTACGCTGCTTTACATGAAAATTTATACCCAGAAATATTCGAATCGAAAACAAAAAGGGAATAAAGATTACCTGAAGATATTGGAGCCTTGAAGTTCCATATTTTCCAGTTCTTTCGTCTTGTCTTTTATCATTTGTAAACATGCTGCGTGTTTATACGAATCTACATGCAGCAAAAAAAAAAAAAATCAACTTTAGATAGAAAATGTTCGAAGCATGCAGTTTTTATTCCCTAACCAAAGTTTGACGAGAAAACTTACAAATTGATTTGGAAAAACCTAGGTTCCAGTTCCAAAGTGGCAAAAGGTTAACCTTTTAGAGGCTTTTCAGTTTTTAAGGATGGCTATTGCTGGGTTTTGCTTGTTCTGAGATTCAAGAGAAATAGATTAGGGTCAAGTACATCTATGGTCAGTAGGGTGAAGTTTGAAGGCAAATCTAGGAAAATATAGTGTGGGGGTTAAAATAATTAGAAAATTACGGTTTCTGGCTTGTGGATTGAGAATTTATCATGCGGGCACAATTAGTTTTATAAACAAGTCATATAAAAATATAATGTTTTATTAAAACTCGTATGTTTTATAAATTATTTTTATAAAACTTGTCATGTCATATAATATTTCTAATTTAATATAACAAATACGTGTAAATTATATATTTAATACACAAAACTATCAATTTTAATCCATTACTAAACTTTTAATTTTTTAAAATCATATCTAATATTTAATTTTTATTTTATTTTAATATCTGTCATTAAAATTTTAGTGTGTTTAGTACCTAAACTATTATCAGTTTTAGTATCAAAACTTTTAATTTTTTCCAAAACATAATACATGATATTAAAATAAACAAAAATTAAACTTTGAGTATAGTTTTGAAAATAATTGAAAGCTTAGATACTTAAATAGATAAAAAAGGATAGTATCAATACTAAAGAAGTAATTTACCCAATAAATAAATATTATAATTCCATATAATTTCTCATTAAATACCCTAAAATGTTTTTTGGCATCAAAATTATTCCGCTAAATTTGACAGCTATCTAAAAGGGAAAAGAAGCACTAATATGTAGTATGGACAATTTCAATTTACAGAATGTATAATAAAGTAAGGGCGAAAGTATATGGTACCTTCAAAACGTGATTGACAACCGCAAAAGGTTAAAAATGATTGCGAACGGTGGAATCAGCAGGGGGAACGAACTAGAGTGAAGCGCACGGTTGTGCACAACCAAGAACGGCAGACCAGAGAGAGAACATGAAGAGTCGGAATTTCTCAATTCAGGAAAGTGTGAAATGATGAACGAGTGAGGAGCTAGGGACGTTAAGGGCACGATCATGCCTATGATTGATGTGGACGGTGGAGCGGTCACCTCCAAGGGATGCGCAAAGAGTGCGGATGAGGTGGTCGACGGTGGTATGCTCACCGAGAGGTTAAAGAGGGTTAGGGAAATGTACGGCTCCATACAAAGGGAGGAAAAAAAAGGCTATAAAATAAAAATAAAATGGTAAAAGTCAGGAAGTGACCCATATCTTCTTAGCTTTTACAGTATTGGCTCCATATGTATTTAAAGTATTAATTCACCCCAAACTCCAAGATTTATTTTCAATTTAGTCCGATTTCTTTTTATTATTATTTTCCATTACTTTCAGTTTTAACCCATTAATTTTAATAATTTTACAATTTAATCATTTTTTAAACTTACACATAAATTTCTAACCTCATATTTGGGGTGTAACATTCATGTTTTATGATCTATCCGAACATGTAACATCCTAAAATATGACTTAAAAGTATTGATTAAATAAATCTATCTTATAATAGTTCCATTTTGAAATTCAAACTTAAATGAAAGAAATTCAAAGTTTTGAGGATTAAATTTAATTTTTGTTTGAATTTGTATTCGACTCAATTTTATGGGTAAAACCCACATCTCTGCCTCCACTTAAAGGTATTAAAAGATATTCGATTTGAACTACTCGACCCATCAATCTATTGACCCGACTAAGAAAATATTGAGTATTTATAATGAAAATACCCAATTTTACGAGTTGGATACCCGACTTGTTGTTTTTCTCGAGTTTTCGGGTTGTACCCATGTCACAAACTATCCTTTAATTGGGTACCCACCAACCTAATATCCAATTTCTTATATATTTTTTATTTTTTATTAGTTTTTTATTCATAATTCTCATATTATTTCACTCCAACATTTTAAATTTCTAATTTCTTGAATTATTTTACCATAACATTATAAAATATTAATTTCTTAAATTATTCCATCCTAACCATCTAAATTATTTATCATATTATTTCTTTAACTTAAAAATATTTTAAATTTAATTATATTTCTTTACTTTTTAATAAGTTTTAACTTTTAAATATGTAATTTGAATTTGAATTTTTATTTGTGTACTTCTAAATTTTAAATTCTAAATTTTATGTATTTTTTTAAATAACATAATTAAAAGAAAAAATAAAATAATATGAATCGAGTATCTATGTCCTGAAAATGCAGGTACTCAGATTGAGTATCTAGGCTTAACGAGATGGGACACGAGCCGCCATTTTTGTTTTTGGAAATCTTGGGTACTCGTATTTCGAGTATCTGAAAATGTGTGTACCCGATTTTGAACACCTCTACCTGCACCTGACTTGACCCAATACAAAAATATATATAATTCTTATTTCTATTCGATAAAATAAAGATCTAATTGAAAAATATAGAGACATGTGTAACTATATTATCTTAAAATAAAGGTTTAAGGGTCACCTTTACCCCCATATAAGACTCAATTTATCGTTTTCGCTCCTATCGTTTTCGTATCAATTTAGCTCTCGAAGTTGTTTAAATGCATCATTCTATACTTTAACCCTAACTTGAAACCCTAAATTAGGGTTTAGGATCTAGTTTTATGGTTAATAGATTATAGGATTAGGGTTTAAGATTTAGTGTTTATAATTTAGGATTTTAAGTTAGGGGTAGGGTATAAAATGATGCAATTGAGCAACTTCAAAAGTTAAATTGATGTGAAAATACGATAGGGGCGAAAGTGATAAATTGAGTCTACTACAGGGCAAAAGCTACCTTTTGCCTAAAATATATAAGAGATAATTATCTACAAATGAATTTGTTTTCCTATTGATCCTAAAACTCAAGTTTTTCTAAACTCAACATTATGGGTTGCTAGTTGCCACATGTAGTATACGTGACCACAATGGTGTATGGATAAAGGGTTTTATGTTGAAGACTGGGAGAACGGACAGTCTAAAAGCATAATTGTAGGGTACCCTACATGGTATGCAATTAGAAAAGTCATTGGGGTGCCTAATTTGATTGTGAGTAATAAGTTCGTGTTGGTTGAAGAAATGCAATAACTGATGAAATTAGGATTCAACAATCAGATAAATAATAGTTTTAAATCCTAATTTGGAAAGTTTTTGCAAGGGATGCATGGCCTTTTCCGAAACACCATTGTTCATCATCATTATTTACCATATCAGAGCACATATGAAACGAAAGACTTTGAAGTTAAGATTTGTGGGTGCTTATTTTATCAAGAGAGAGTTGTATAATAGATGAAGATGAATTCAAGTGATAGCTTTACAAAGAGGTACATTGTAGTCCTTTGACTATGCATACGGGAGGAAATAAGATGTATCAAGACTTAAAGAGTTGATATTGGTGGACTGGAATGAAAAGAGCTATAACTGAATTTGTTTCTATGTAACACCCAACCCGGATACGAATCCGAGGTGTCACATTAACTTTTCAAAACATTTACTTTTATAAAAGAATGAAAATTCTACTTTTATTAAATCAAAGTGCATAATTTATACAATTTAAATCAAAGAGTTTACAAAATTTATCAAAGCGTATACAATTCAATCTTTTATTTACATTCCTACTACTTTCCTTATAACAAAATACATATTATTCATATACTTTTCTGATCTGATCTTTAGAATCTGACCTGACTTGCCTATCTTTTCTTTTCTCCTCTTCTTGCTTCTCAGAATCTATGTGAGAAACACTCACATACTAAGTCGATGACTTAGTAAGGCATATAAACATATAATGGAAACTCTAACTACTTAACAATACATGAACATTTCATACAATGATATCACACAAAACCATATAACATTTCATATAGTCAAATGAATACATATACATATCTTGTCATTATCATCATTAACCTCATCTCATTATCAATATTATATTCATTCATATATTTTAGTCATATACTCTTGTACCTAACATTCTTAACTATCATATGACTCATCTAACCAAACAATACACACAAAATCATATAATTCATGTAATACATTTCATATCACAAAGCATATACATCACATACAATGTATTTGTTGTTATCTCTTTATTAGCCCATGTATACTTCTGAAAACAAAAGATATGTGAGTACATTGAGGTTGTGCACATATGTTGTCACCACAGCTCGTATAAATTCCCACTAGGGGCACATAGAATTTGTCCCGAAGGACCACACATATGTCCCAAAGGACCACATAGAAATCTCCTTAAGGACCACATATATATTCCAAAGGACCAAATATGTGTTCCGAAGAACCACTGATATGTTCCATAAGATTACATATATATCCCAAAGGACCACATAGAACCCTCGACTCTTGGCATGCCAACTATACCCCTAGCTCTCATATCACATAACATGGGCATTTTCATTATGTTTGTCACATACTCACATTTTCAAATAATCAAACAAATCATCACATACTCATATCCTTGTACTTGTAGTCTCATATCTTCTTTTTACGTAGATCATGTTACATTCTCATGTAGCCTCATAACTCATTGTCATATATAACATATCACATAGCTTGTATCATGTAACATATACTTTGTTCTCTTATGATCACATATTCATATAATCCCTTATGTTTATATCAAATAACTTATATTATCTCCCCATGTAATCACATATATTATTTTTATCAATTCACATGGTTTATCAGACAACATGTATTCACATGGATCATGTAACATATACAATAACATATAACACATACAATCATATTCAAGTACTCAGCCACACATAATATTCATATCAAACACATGCTTACATTCATGAATTCATGCATTCTAATATAGGAAATAGACTCATCACAAGTCTTATTTCTATTAAACATCATTTATCAACTAATATGCACTCACTTGGGCCTTACTAGCCAATTCGAACACTTATGACTCTTGTACATTCTTATAACTTTGAATCTTCTTGGGCTTGTCTTTGATCGATAACTACACGAATATAAGACTTATATGAATATCAGAGTTTGAATTGCTTATAACCAATCAATATAACTTAATATACAAAGTACTAAATTAACAATTTCCATATAAGTAGTATCGATACCTTAAGGTACAGTATCGATACTTCTACCCTATGGTATCGATACTATACTTCAGTATCGATACCCAATTAAGATTTTGGAATTCATCTTCAAAATGGTACCGATAGTTGCTCAATGGTATCGATACCCCCAATATCAATACTACTCCTTTGGTATCGATACTCCTTGAACAATTTATCAACTTTTGCCTTATGGTATAGATACTTATTCAACCAGTATCGATACCTATACCCCAAATATCACTCATTTTCTCTTTGAAGTATCGATACTGAATGAACAGTACCGATACCCCCTGCCCAAAATTTATTTATCTAACCCGAAAATTTACCAAACTTACTTAAATCTTCTACTATAACCTCCTTTTAACCCTTAAGGCTTAACTACACCTATTCAAATCAACTTAGATCACTTTAATTCATCCTAATATCCCACATACACACTTGAATTCACTATACATGCCGATTAATCAATATGTTCCAAATTTAGTTCTAACACTTTGAATTTCTTATTTCAGTTCATGACAAGTCAAATTCAACTTCAAAATCCATTTACTCATTCTTTTTCAATAATTCACTCAAAAACTCATTTTACTTAATCTCTCATAACTTGTAAATCTCTTAGTTTCCATTTTTTTAAGCTTCCTTAAGCTTTCCTAATGCTCCAAGAATCAAAACCAACTTTAAAATGAAAGAAACAATCAAGTTGATACCAACTCACCTTACCACTAAAGTCATGGGAGGAAGAAGATAACCAAGTCTCTAGACTTTTCTTTCATTTCCTCTCATCTCAACGTGTTTTATATCCCATAAAAGAAAAATAAAAATCTTTCTCATGAAAAGACCATTATACTCTCTCATCTTTCAAACTTTGCTACTAAATCCAACATAAAGATTTTCCAATTAAGTCCCTAAATTTTTTAATTTTTTGAATTCAGACACAAAGTTTCAGAAATTTACGTTTTAGTCACTAACCCGAGTTTTGGGATGTTACAAATCTCCCCCCTTTTAAGAAAAATTGTCCTTGAATTTTCACTGCACAAATGGATCA